AAATCAAAAAAATAAGTTACAAACCTAATATGTTCAAAAACTAACAATACAATTTTTTGACACATTTGTTGGGGGTTCGTACTGGCAAATGTGGCGATAAAGGGCTCTTGTTACTACCTTAGACCATGCCAATTATATTGCTACTAGTAGTTAGCAACAATTCAAATCTATAATAATACATATATAAATATATAATAATATATATTATTTATTTTTGGTTCAGTATGAGATTACCGAAAGATTGAGTAGACAATACCGAATCTCGTATCGAAATTTTGAGATCGGTTCAGTATTTCATCCCAAAAATTTCGGGAATTTTAGTTTGGAATCGGAATTTTTTTAGATTGGTTCAGAATTTTCAGGAATTTTTTCCAACCCTAATTGGATTCCCACTAGTGTAGAAGATTAGGTAATGCCCACTAGTTTATCCAAATTTGGTTTGGCACATTGCTTTCTACAAATGCTCAACAACAATTTCTTCTTTTCACCAACACCCATGATGGCTAATACTAAAATTAACTATTAATTAAGTTAGGCTATCCTTTAAAGCCTCAAAGTTGAAAGATTCCCTCATAATTATGTCATAAAAAAACCAACACTACCATGCTTTTCAAACCCTTATCTTAACCTTGTCAACATGTAAATAAAGTTTCACTCCAAACACAAGATCCTCTTCTATTGGTCGGTCAAGTAAGGTGATTAGTCACCTCCAATTGTCATCGAACACACCAAAATCCTAAATTACACGCAATTGTATGTTTGAATGAAGAGTGTTATAATTAGTCGCACCCACTCATCTGAGATTTTCTTTTACTGTTGTAAATTTTGTATGCATCAATGGCCAAATTTAGCTGATGCAAAAACTTGGATGATTGATTATGGTTGTGAAATCCTTATTTGACTAAATGGCTGAAGTGTAAGGTTAATGATGGTCATCGCTTGAAAAGTTAACTCTAGCTAATTAATAAATCCAAGGTTTATGACAATAATGATGCAGCTTGATGAATTTAAAATACATTATCATCATTCCTTAATTTACGGTTTTTCTATTTAAGAACTATAGGACAAGAGAAACTAAGCAAAGCAGCCACAGAGATCTTAACCTAGCTACTAAGAATATGGCAATCCAGCAGCCTCTCCTTGAAGCTTTCAAAACTACAACTTCCCACTGCAAACCCTACTCTCTAGTTCTCTGCTTAGTTGCTGTTATAAGCTCAACTACTCTTTTTTCCATCCATGTGCTAACCAAATTCGCCTCGTCCTCTAATCCTCCTTTAACTGGCTTAACCCAAGTCTGCGATCACGCGCTTGATCAGAAATCATGCTTATCCATAGTCTCAGAAACATCGCATGGCACAACCAAGCCAATGAGTGGTGCTGATCTATTACAAACCATCCTACAAAATTCCATGCCACAATTACAAAAAACCCTAGATATTGCCAAAGTTGCGCACTCTCGGATCAACAGTCCAAAAGATCGAGCGGCTATCGTTGATTGCGTGGAGCTGATGGATGTGACCAAAGACAGAGTTATGGACTCCATGGTAGCTCTCCAGAAATTTGGTGCACATAATTATTATTCCCTTGAAGATGTGCATGGTTGGCTTAGTAGTGTACTCACTAACCACGTCACTTGTTTGGATGGACTAGAAGGTCCGGCCAGGACTATGATGGAGCCTTGGCTCAATGACTTGGTATCAAGATCAACAGCCTCCCTAGCCATTGTGGTTGCAATTTCCGATCGATCAAAGTCAAACCCGATTAAGGAGCGGCTGGATGGGATTTTTCCAACTTGGGTCACAAGCAAGGACAGAAGGCTTTTGCTGGATTCTAATTTGGCAAAGGAAAGTAATGCTAATGCTGTGGTTGCAAAGGATGGGAGTGGGAACTATAAGACTGTGAAAGAAGCAGTGGCGGCAGCACCAGATAATAGCAAAACCAGGTACACTATTCATGTGAAAAAGGGAACTTACAAGGAAAATGTCGAGGTCGGGAAGAAAAAGAAGAACTTGATGATGACTGGAGATGGCATGCATAACACAATCATCACTGGCAGCCTCAATGTTGTTGATGGAGCAACCACTTTCAACTCCGCAACTCTAGGTAATGATTTTAATGAAATTATTACGCATAGTAGGACCGGTTACAAACTTTTCCTAAAAAATATAACGTAGAACACTAATCACACATCAAACTTAGGTTTATATATATCTTCTCGTTTGTTTAGTGTCCCAAATATTGGATGTATTTATATTATTCTAGCCTTAGAAATTGTGGGTTTCATTGGATTTGGTGTGCCAATGCAGCTGCTGTTGGTGATGGGTTTATAGCGCAAGACATTTGGTTCCAAAACACAGCTGGGGCAGCAAAGCACCAAGCTGTTGCACTCCGGGTTGGGGCAGATCGATCCGTGATAAACCGGTGTCGTATCGACGCCTACCAAGACACTCTCTATGCCCACTCCAACAGGCAATTCTACAGAGATTCCTACATCACAGGGACAGTGGACTTCATATTCGGAAATGCAGCTGTTGTGTTTCAAAACTGTAAAATCGTGGCCAGAAAGCCCATGACCGGACAAAACAACATGGTCACAGCACAAGGACGTATAGACCCAAATCAAAACACTGGGACTTCTATTCAAAAATGCGATGTAGTTGCGAGCTCGGACTTAGAGCCCGTGAAAGGGACGATCCGATCTTACTTGGGTCGTCCATGGAAGGAGTACTCAAGGACTGTTGTGATGCAGTCCAAGATTGGTGACCACATTGACCCAGCTGGGTGGTCTATTTGGTCTGGGGATTTTGCATTGAAGACATTGTATTATGGAGAGTATGCAAATAGTGGGCCTGGTGCTGGTACTAGCAAGAGAGTGAAATGGGCTGGGTACCATGTGATCACAAGCCCAAAAAAGGCCCAACCTTTCACTGTCGCGAACCTTATACAAGGTGGGTCGTGGTTGAAGTCTACAGGGGTGACTTATACCGAAGGGTTGTGAGTTTGATCGGGAATCATTTTGATCGGTGTTTTGCGTTCCGTTTTGAGTTCACCGTTTTGAGTTTGGGTACTTTTTTTCCGATAAATAAATTATTGCGCACATGGTCTAATATCGTAGTAGATATGTTGTTGAGTTTCTATCCATCCGTTTCGGATTCGTAACTTCTTTATCTTATAAATTATTGTAATAGTTTCGAACCTTACTTCTCCCCCTTTAATAGCAATAAATAAATTATTATGGCATTTTGTTCAAGCATTTTAATATTTGTGAAGGTGTCAACGAATAGGCATTGACTTTGATCTCAATATATTGTGTATTCATCCAATTGTGTGTCAAACAATCAACATTTCTTTTGTGAGAAAAAAAAAATCAACGTTTCTTTTTATTAAAAATGTTAGGATGTTCAGCATTTGGGATTTGAACAAAAAATTATTATCTGACCAAGTGAAGACCGAGTGCCGCTAGACCAGCTAATTGTGTGCGAAATCAGCATCATATGTTTAACAATGGACTAGCATGCAATGCATGCTTTGAATATACAAAGAATCTAGAGGACTACATCTCCATAACTAAATAAAAACCCTAAAAGTGGTCTCTAGGTGAGCAGCACATTCCCGTACTGTGGACCTTGCTGCATAATTTGCAGTGCAAGGAAGTAAGCAGAATGAATAAACGTGCTTCCAACACACAACAAAAGTTCTACATGTTTAATGTCTCAGAACAGCTAAGTCACAGCAGCATATGATTGCAAGATGATATTGATAGGCTGCAATTCAATTAGTTGAGAATAAACTAATACCTCAAAAAATGATAATTCTAAAACCATATTTTAAGGCCTAATTAATCAAAATGCTGAAATCATTTTCATCAATTAGAAATTAATTAAATTGACGGAATTATATAGAAAGGTAAACAGAGCTCAGACCAGCTGGCTGAAAAAAATTAAAGAAAGCTGGATTGCAATATGTATTAAATAATGTCTCAAGCATGGAAGGATTCAATTTGGACAATGTGTTAACCTGTTGCTGTCTTAATAATCTGTATACTGGAACCTTGGGTTAAATCCATTGAATTGATATTTAGGTGCAAAAATCGAAAAAGGAAATGTCCTCTTTACCATGTTTGCTGAACTACTAAAATTGAAAAACATTCTGCCAAGTATATAATTAATTTATTTATGAAAAAACACCTGTAGTGTAATCCTCTACAAAATGTTAATATATTAATAAAAAAATGCTTTAAGAATCAAATTATAGAAATAAAAACGCTTATCTATCAATGGTTAATGCTCGATGCAATAATAGTTGGGTTCAATGATTCTTTCTTGAAAACGGCGATGAGGTTTTGGCTATGTAAGGAAATCTTGAAGGACTTGTTTACGTTGAAGAGCCTTAATTAGATAGACTATCGCGTAAGAGAGAAATTTATATGCAATTGTGGCGTTAAAATGGTGATATTCTAAATCTATAACGTGTTGTCATATATTTTAACTTTCTCACATAACATAATTGGTTTGTGGTGTCGCCTTAACGTCCCAATTTCATGCACCTCTTAACTAAAAGAGTAATTTTGTCATTAAAAAGGGACTTCCCTTCCCCTCTTAATCTCCATTGATTTACGACTAAAATCTATAAACAAAGTCTTAGGGTTGGTTTGATATTGCCGTGCTTTGAAAAAAAACTATTTTTGCTGTGCTGTGAGAATAAGTTTATTTTTTCTGCTTTACGTTTTCAGCTTTTTTTAACTTAAAATTGTGAAAATAAGTTGTTTTAAGTGCTTACCAAACACCTTTTTGAGTTCAATTTTTTTTATACCCACATTTTTATAAAAGTACATCAATACTAAACCAGTACTTAATAGCCAAGGTAGACTGCTTTTGGAAGCCAGTCTAGTCAGAGAGACTGTACAAATACAGCTTCCCTCTCTCTGTATCAGATTTTAGCCCGCAATTTAAGTATATCATGCATTATTTGGAGGATAGCGCCTCTTGCATTTTTTCAGAGAGATTCTGAAAGAAGGTAAGTAAACGAGCACCACCCATTTTCTTTTGTATTGTCTTCTTAGTTTTGTCCCGTCTTTCACACCCTTCGTTTTTTTAGGTTTTCATTTTTGTCTAGCCTCCTCTCTCTCTCTCTCTCTACACATTTGCAGATAAATCCCATTGCACCATCCTTTCTCTTTTTTCCCTTTTTTTTTTCCTGTATTCTTCCATTTTCATTTGTTTAATCGGCTTCAATCAGTAGTTTGTTTCCGGGTTTTTGTTATTGCACCAAGAGATCTTCACTCCAAAGGGTTTTCTTACGCATGTTTTGCTATCCATAAGAAGTTGGTGTAAAAAGATGGAGCTTGGAAATTGGCTACTTTGGTTGGATATGGTGGAGAAGTTGGTTTTCTTCTAAACAATCAACCTCTCAAAGTATGTTTTTTTTTCCTTCCACAAATGCATCATATATCTCATAAAATCATGGTCAGATACTAGTCTTCATTGACAGGGAAAAAAATGTTCCCAAATCACATGCAGTGAGTGAACCTTATTGGATACTGCTCTTACCCTTTATCCCCTTTAAGATTATTTTAAGCAAAATCTCATCTAAGTACATATTTACTTTCTTGCAGGCAAAAGGATCCATCTGTTCCAATCTTTAGCTTTGGCGTTTAATTTGCTTTCCTGTTGTCTGCATCCTTTAAAGTGGCTGCTGTTTCAATTGGGGCGTGTAGTTTCCACCATGGCAAAGATCTTGAAATACTTCTCTCAAATGTTTGGTACGTAATTCTCTCTCTCTCTCTCTCCGTTTTCTTTAATGTATCAAATCGATTCTCCTTGTCAGTGTTGGTTAAACCAGTTGGCGACGCTAGTGTGCCCCTTGCATCTTTAATTTGAATCCCCCACCACGTAGATTAAATTAGTTTGATCAGAATATTTGTCTGGTAAGAAAAATAATAATTATGCTTAATTTTGAAAATTCAAGGCTAATTATGCTGGAAAATGGATTTTTTTTGTTTGTTGCAGTTGTGAAGGAGCGTGAAATGGAAATTGGGTTCCCAACAGATGTGAAACATGTAGCACACATTGGTTGGGACAGCCCGTCTGAAAGCGCGCCCAGTTGGGTACATGTCTCTCTTGTTATTTTTTCTTCTTCTCAACAATATAATGTTCTAAATTATGTAAAGAAATTCCAACTTAAATGCAAATGGCGTCATACAGCCTTGCTACCTGTCTTAACCACATATGCATCTCTCTCTTGTTATTGATTTATCGTATCGTGTCTCCCATGTTTTGTTTATATAGAACAAAACTGCCAACCAAAACATGTGCTTCTTTTTCTTAATGCTCTCATAATTCTCTTGTTGGGTTAAATTATTGCTAATCAAGCAGATGAACGAATTTAAAAACGGACCCGATTTCTCAACGAGCTCCCATGGTCGGAATGCCAGTGATCGAATGGGGTCCTCTAATCCCATGGCTTATTCCCCTTGGTCCTCTCAAGGTATGCTTTTGATCACCTCTATATAGTAGTTTCAGCATTTCATGTTTTCAAGGACATGACTATGTAGTAAGGATAAGAATCTACTTTTAGGACACCATTGTGATGGTATTTTAAACTTGATATTGTTTGATTGACTTGAGATACTACTGCAATGACATCTCAATCATAAGTAAATTTCTCTCGTACATACGATTAGGCTAGCGGAATGCAAACTAGGTGATGGCTGGGACCTGCGTATCATATGAATGATTTAAAGGCTCTGCCTATATGTTCCATTAAACTATGCCTCCTATCGTGTGTAGTTGTGCGAGTACAATAATTAGACAAGTTTTTTTCACGGGGTCAAAAGTTAATTAGGAGAAATGTGATTAATGTATGTTTTAGTTATTGGTAATGAGATTTATTAGGTGTGCAAAAGCTTTCAAGATTCTTTGCCCCAACAGCAAGTTTTTTGGATCTTCTGTCACGAGACCAACACACACTTTCCTACCTGGAGGAATATGATAGCTTGGAGTGGCCCTTTAGAAAAACTCTAGCTTAGTCTTGGTAATGGTGGTCCACAGGACCACAGGGCTTTGCTAAATTTGAGATTTTCGTAATACTACTTTACTTAAATTGGTTGATAAATTTGAGATTTGGCCATCAGTTCAAGACTCATTGTTTATTTATATGAGCAATAGTCTAAACTACAAAGATAGAAGATACACTGTCTTAATCAACTTAGCTACATCCAAGTTTATGTCAATACGTAAAAAATAAGTTTGATTGAACATTACTATTAGGGGTCAATATGTCATTGGCCTTAACTTTCAATTTTAGGTGTTCCACTAATTTGTGGTCAAATCTTTGCTGTGGCATGGTGCTTTCATCAATTTATTTTAGATTGTGCCACTTGATTTGCATGATTGAATCACTTTGAAGACACTTTAACCTCTCTCTTATTCCTTTTGTTTCTTTAATTTTTTGGGTGACAGATTTTGAACAACCCATAACGCGGCAACCATCATCCGACGTGTTCAGATATCTTTCTCCAACTGAACTTCCTAATGTTTCCAAGAAACCAAAGCGAAAAAAGGTCAAATCGTCATCTCCCTCGGCTGGAAGATCGTCACAAGGATCAAAGTCAAAGGCAACTGCATACACCCAAATGGAGGCAACACAAAATCGGATAATATAGAATAAAGTGCAAGATTATGAAAGTTTGATCAATCAAAGTTAAGAGAAACTGTCAAGGTGCACATCAACAATTCTGGATGCCCCTATGTTTTGCTTGCTCTGCAAGGTTCACAAGATCGAGAAGGGATTAAGATCCGAAAAATTGGACATAGCTTATGTAAATTTTAGAAATGCATGCATAATGCAAAACTAAGTGGTAGGGGAAATTTCTTGGAACAAATGTGAGAGTGGGTGACAACCAGTTTAGGAAGACAACATTTTTTTTTACTTCACTTTAAGTTTAATATGTAATAAGCATGCAAGTGAGGTTTTAGTTGTGCTGGTGCACGACAGGGGGATTTTTCTTTGGGATTAAGTTTTGATTTACATATTTTAATCCCATCGTGTTGCATATTTTAATCCTTCACTTTAAAATATGTTGTTTGTACCATACTTGACCAATCCCGAAACTACCGAGCACCGGCTAACGCTATACTGTCAAGGACCCAGAAGAGTTCCCCTCCGACCAGGAGGCCAATCACTACTCGACACGTGTCAAGATTAGAAGCCAATCAGAGCGCAGCACGTGTCGACATCAAGAACCAATCATAACATGACACATGTCAATGTGACAAAGCTACAAGTTTTTCTATAAATAGGGGTCATTCCCCCCACAATATTGGCTAATGCCATTTGTGTTAAATCATTCACAAGAACTCACTAAATTGAGAGCTTGATCCTTTGTACTTGTGTAAGCCCTTCACTACTAATAAGAACTCCTCTACTCCGTGGACGTAGCCAATCTGGGTGAACCACGTACATCCTGTGTTTGCTTCTCTGTCTCTATTCATTTACGTACTTATCCTCACTAGTGACCGAAGCAACCAAGCGAAGGTCACAAAACCTGACACCTTCTGTTGTACCAAAGTCTTCGCTGATTTTTTGTGCATCAACATTTGGCGCCGTCTGTGGGAAACGACACTTATTCCTACTCTCTTCAGCTGTGTCAAGCTGGTTTCTATCATTCGTACACTTTCTTTTGATCAGGCATCCCTCTCCAGCATGGGAAGCGAAGGAAGCCACACAGCACACAGAATGACACCCCCCTTGCACATAGTGCGAAACAACGAAAGAAGGAAGGAAAACGAGTTCTTCTTCAAGCTAAAGTCGATGAGTTGGAAGCTCAGAACAACAAGATAGCAATGAGGAATGAGGTCCTCCAGGAGCAATATGAGAAGCTCTTCGAGACACTCCACGAAGCTAGGCAAGCTCAGACACGCGAGCTTGTTGCCCCCGTGGAAGTCAACCATCAACTGGGTGCCCTCCAACATGGAGGGTCACATGCATTCGACATAGATATCCCTGATAGGGAACAAATTACCCCTCGATTTGATAATCAACATGAGGCTTCTCTTAACCCAGTTGCTTCGACCCGAACCATGAGAAGCGGAGGGAGACACCTCTTTGCTGAAGGGGCAGAAAGGATCGAAAGCCGTCTTTCGCGATTGTCGGGATTTCCTGAAGCAACGTCGAGAGAATTCCATCCATATAAGCTCAAAGATCAATGACCCAAGGATTTCTGAGAGACTCGGTCCCCTGCCACGGCCCGAGCCGGCCACCAACTTGGGGAAGGTGCAACAAGTCCTAGAGAGACATGAGGGTACAGGGGACTCAGAGGTGTTTCCGACAGACATACCCTGGAAGCCAGTACAGCGAGTCCAGGGAAAAATCACATGCCCTTGATCAAACCTTCCTAATTCCAAGAGGAGATGGAGATTTACGAAAGAAAGCTCCAGTGGCACATAACTCCGCTCAGGACCCCCTTGTCCTACAACTTCTTGAGGAAGTAAACAAGTTGAAGGCTGAACGTCAGGCTGAAATACCTGACTGGAACCAACCCAGGCCTGGCCCTCTTACAAGGAGGATCCTCAACACCCCCTTCAAGCAAAAGACAAAGCAGAAGCTTGGCTTGCAACTTTATACTGGAAAAGAGGACCCGATTGAGCACCTTAACCTCTTTGAGTCCACCATGGCATACCGGATGCACACCGACGAAGAGCGATGTCTTCTCTTCCCCTCCACCCTCTCTGGCGGAGCTCTAAATTGGTATTGTCGTCTTACACCTGAGACGGTAGACTCATTTGAGGAATTGAGGAAACTATTTGTTTCCCAACACATTTTCCAAACCGATCGCTTGCACTCTGCAGATGACCTGTACACTATCCGCCAGAAGCCAGACGAGTCATTACGTATGTATGCTGGCCGCTTTAGCCATGAATACTCCCGGTGTGCCGAGGCAGACGACAAGACTGCCCTCAAAGCCTTCACGGCAGGCCTACGTGATTGTTTCTTTAAATACATGATCAATGCCAATACTTGGAAGACTTACTCTGAGGTGATGGCGCAGGCTTATAACCATGCCTCCGTCGAGGCAAAGACATATCAGGAGAAACCCCCTCACCCAACGCCATGGAGGAAGAACTAGCAATAGCTAAAGTTCGACGGTTGGGAAGATCATCCAATGTTTCTCTAGTACAGGACTCTAACAAAGACCCTGAAGACTCCGACATTGCAGACTCAGACTTAGAGCTAAAGCTAGAAGAACCCTCATCACTAGAACTTCCAGGCTCTGACATCTACAATAAGAAGAAACAAATTCTATCACTACATGCATGATCAAAACATAAGGAAGTTCCTATATTACCCACATGAAGATGGTGCAAAGCGATGCCGGAACCCTTCTCAATCAGAAAGCAATCCGTCTTCCACAGTCACTACAAAACAAGCAAATGAAGACCATGTCAAGCGCCAAAAAAAAAAAAAAAAAAAAAAAAAAAAAAAAAACAGCTTCATCCAAAAGCGAAAAGCTTCACCTCCAAAACTTCACCCAAAAAGCTTCATCCAAAAAGTTTCACCCAAAAAGCTTCACCTAAAAAAGCTTCACCCAAAAAAAAAAAACTTCACCTCCAAAAAGCTTCACCCAAACAGCTTCACCTAAAAAAGTTTCACCCACAAAGCTTCACCTAAAAAGCTTCACCCACAAAGCTTCACCCAAAAAGCTTCACCTCCAAAACTTCACCCAAAAAGCTTCATCCAAAAAGTTTCACCCAAAAAGCTTCACCTAAAAAAGCTTCACCCAAAAAAAAAAAAAAAAAAAAAAAAAAAAAAAAAAAAAAAACTTCACCTCCAAAAAGCTTCACTTAAAAAAGCTTCACCTACACAGCTTCACCTAAAAAAGCTTCACCTAGAAAGCTCCCTCTACATACTTTCACCTACAAAGCTTCACCATCAAAGCTTCACCTCGAAAGCTTCATCTACAAAGCTTCATCTACAAAGCTTCACCCAAAAAGTTTCACCTAAAAAAGCTTCACCCAAAAAAAAAAACTTCACCTCCAAAAAGCTTCACCCAAACAGCTTCACCTAAAAAAGCTTCACCCACAAAGCTTCACCTAAAAAGCTTCACCCACAAAGCTTCACCCAAAAAACTTCACCCGAAAAGCTTCACTTAAAAAAGCTTCACCTACAAAGCTTCACCTAAAAAAGCTTCACCTAGAAAGCTTCACCTACATAGCTTCACCCAGAAAGCTTCACCATCAAAGCTTCACCTAGAAAGCTTCAACACCAAAGCTTCACCTACAAAGCTTCAACACAAAACCTTGCTCCAAATAAACAAATTTTGTTCACAAAACCCAAGATGCCCTTGAACTTGTACAAAAAACACAGGTCAACACAAACATTTGTTTTGTTCTACACCCACAACATCCATGTCATAACCAAACAAGCAATTATGTATATGTTTCCAAACATATTATAATAGATCCAACAACAAGCCAAAGTCCCAAGTTTCATAATGGACAAAAAGTACAAGCAATTCATCAATAATGAAGGTGCTACAAAACTTGGAATCTGCCCCAAAATAGAAAAATCCAACCCAAGAGACTTTTTTCTCTCTCTCCCTCTTCCGCCTCCTTTCATCTATCAAATTTCTGCAACCTCTGCTCTTCTCCAATGGAGCTGAATTTTGGACACCCTATAGTTTTTGAGCATATGAACAACTTTCAAGAAGGAACCATTTCTGTTTGAGCGACGGAAATTAAAGTGTTGAAGCTCCAAACATGACAGTCGGATTCTTGCAGATTTCGAAGCTGCTATGATGTTTCGAAGATCTGGAAATATTTAACCATTAGTTCATTCTGAATTTTTGATATGTTATGAAAGAGACGATGAGGCACAACTTCAATGAAGAAAGCATGCTGATCTGAACAATAGAAAATGGAGTTTCGAAGCTCACAACAAATCTGACGGGTTGACAGAAAAATAATAACCAGTCATTCATCATACCTGAATTTCTTGAGTTATATAGCTCCGAGGGATCTCAAATTTGGATATGTTTGTAGTTCACAAGCTGAGGAACAACTTCAATGAAGAAAGCATGCTGATCTGAGCAAGAGAAAATAGAGTTTCAAAGCTCACAACAAATCTGACGGGTTGACAGACAAATGATAAACAGTCACTCATCATACCTGGATTTCTGGAGTTATACTGCTCCGAGGGACCTCAAAATTTGGATATGTTGTAGTTAGTTCAAGTTAAGGAACAACTTCGATGAATGAAGAAAGTATGTTGATCTGAACAAGAGAAAAATGGAGTTTCGAAGCTCACAACAAGTCTGACAGGTTGACAGAAAAATGATTGAACAGTCACTCATCATACCTGAATTTCTGGATTTGTACTGCTCCGATGGATCTCAAATTTGGATATGTTGTAGCTGACAAGGTGAGGAACAACTTCGATGAAGAAAGTATGTTGAGATGAACAAGAAAAAATGGAGTTTAGAAGCTCACAACAAGTCTGACGGGTTAACAGAAAATTGATGAACAGTTACTCATCATACCTGAATTTCTGGAGTTGTACTACTCCGATGGATCTCAAATTTGGAGATGTTGTAGTTCACAAGATAAGGAACAACTTTCATGAAGACGACTTTGCGATCTGAGTTATAGTGAATGGTGTTATCTTGCATCCACTCAGGCTGATTAGTGGAAACGAAAAGCAATTCCACCAAAGAAAAGATGAAAAAGAGAGAAAAGCTACTAATTGCACTTGATCTTGTCTAGTCAATAGCATGCAGCATCAAACACACAAAAAAGTTGGAAATATTTTTAGATAAGGCATATGCGAATGTGTGACATCGAAACAAGGATTCGTTACTTTGACAAATTAGTAACAAGCGAGACACCTCATTCGGCAACTCTCTTTGCCTGAAGACTTGGGGGACTCCCACCATATGCTACTGCACCTTAATACTCGGCAGTCTCACAACCACTCAGTGACTTGGATTTTTCAAGTCTCCAACCGAGAAGTTTTCCTCACTCGGGAAATTAAGGGAACACTACCTACCTCAAACTACATGCTTCACTCACAAAGCTTCAACAATACAGGTTTTACAACAAAAGCAAAAATTCAAAGAACTTTATGAAGAAGGCTTTGGTGTATTTAACACAATATATTGAAAATGAAGCAAAGCTTATTTATTAATATTTTCGATAAGCCACAAATATGTACATATACATGAGTCAAAATAAACAAACAAAATGGGAGCCTTCACAAAGGTTGCTTAGGGGAAGTCTCAGCAGTCGGTAGAGCCCCAGAAAGAGAAAGCACCGGAGGGTGGTTATCCGGAGCCTCAGTACTTGACAAAACCCCAGAAGGAGGAGGCATTGGAGGTTCATCATTTGAAGCTTCATTACCAGGTACAGCCCCAGAGGACGAAGGCAATAAATGCCTTTGGAACAAACCCACAAACCGCTGATGATCAAGTAAAACCTTACCATCAGATTCCTTCATCTGGTCAAGCTTCCTCTTCATGTTTGTAGCATAGTCATGGGCGAGCCGGTGCAACTGCTTATTCTCATGCTTGAGCCCTCTAATCTCCTGTTTGAGACTCATCACTTCAGCAGCCAATGATTCAACTTGGCGGGTTCTAGCAAATAGGCGTTGGGCCATATTAGACACAGAACCTGCACACTGAACACTAAGAGCCAGAGAGTCCTTAACAGCCAACTCATCAGACCGTTTGGAAAGTAGTCTGTTATCTTTGGGAGTGAGAAGGTTCCTGGCCACCACTGCAGCGGTCATATCATTCTTCATCACAGAATCCCCAACGGTAAGAGGACCAGTAGGGGATATGAAGGATGGGCGCCATATGTTGTCTGGAGAAGGCGTGGCTGTCTCTTCTCCAAGGTTCAGGTCAAAACGACGGTCAGAGGGTCCAGACATTTTCAAATGTGTTGAAGAAGGAAGAGGTCAGACAAATCAAGATCTTAGAAGTGCAAGAAATGAGCTTCTACTGGTAGAGATTCAGGTGTGCTGTGGAACTTAATGCCAGCCTCTATAAAAATCTGCACTCGATGGAGCTTCAGAAATCGAAGAGGCGTTTGCTTTCTCAAAAGCTGGGCTGCTCAGAGACCACGAGGGCCGATCTCAGAAATCGAAGAGGCGTTTGCTTTCTCAAAAGCTGGGCTGCTCAGAGACCACGAGGGCCGATCTCAGAAATCGAAGAAGCACCTGCTTTTTCAGCCTCGTCAGCACCTGTCACATGCACAATCAGCTTTGCGAAAATTACGGGCAATCTGTCAAAGATTTCTGGTGAAGTAAAAAGCACGTGAATCTTACTGTTCAATCACCGCTCTCCATATGCACCATCAACTCCTCGGGTACCACATATAACTTTGTCAAAGATCTCTGACAAAGTTTAGGCACGAGAATTTCGAAGTTCCAGCTACCCTACTATTACCCATAAGGGTAAAGGAACAGCACCACTGCTTGACAACTGGAAAGTCCCTATGTGTGTCGACCTCCGTGTTTTGCGGCAAGACAGGTTGGCAAGAACGTCCAACCTTTACTCACATTCGAGAAAAGACTCCCAACATAATTACTTTCTCAAAAAACCGGAGTAGCACCGCTTTCCGAATCTCGAGAGTCAGATCATCGACGGGATTGCTTGTTCGAAAACCGAAGAGGCACAACTCTCAGAACTTCGAGAGCCAGATTTCCTTAGATAAAGCTTGTCTGTAATCTTCACACGTAACATCAGCTTTCCAGATACCACATACCACTTTTTCAAAGTGCTCTGACAAAATTAAAACACGTGAAGCTGGCAGCTCCCACTACATTGCTGTGACCAAGAAGGGTAAAGGAATATCATTACTACTTGTTATTGGGAAATCCCTATATACATTGACCTCCCTCCTCAACGGACAGGCAAACCTGCAAAAATGCTTAACCCTTTCTCGCATTCGAAAAGGCACCCTCAACATAACCTCTCGAAATACTCAGCTTTATTTCCCCCGATAATACCTCAGCAAATAAGCCACACCAAGAACAAGAGTATCTCATATCATCAGGGTCGAAAGCAAGAGTATCCCATATCATGCTTTCTCCCTATCTTTGTCTTTGTCCTTGTCCACACCTGCAGGACAAGGAGAAAGAGAGCAGTCAGTCGGAACCTGAAATCAAACCTCCAATTTGGAACTGACTGCCTGGAGCCTTTGCCTGGTTGCTTACTTAGCATTGCTCTCGAGTACTCATCCTCAACTGCTGTCAAGGTCACGAATTCCACCGGCAAATACCTCATGACAGTTGATCAGATATTGGCTCTTTACACTGAAGCTGCCAAGCGTGGATGAGTCACTATGAAGGAATGTTCTGAAGGACCATTTAAATGCAAAGGTTGCACACCACTTCTGCCATGCAAAAGATTGAAGCAGAAGGTTCAACGGTGAGCTGAAACAGATCACTACAGCACGACACCTTTCCATACCACATTCATTATTCCGTCAACAGCAAAAGTATCCCATATCATCAAGGTCGAACGTACTCTAGATTTGATGGACTTGTTTTGACCCTCAAATTTTTGAGTCGGCCTTATACTCTGAAGGGCACCAGAAAACCCTCCAGCACAGTTCAAGAATAAGCCTGTGGAAAGTTACTTTCTTCAAAAGCAAAAGTATCTCATATCATCTCTTATCCATTTGCTTGCTTCCTTATCCTTATCCTGGCAGTTGAATGAGAGACAAGGAGAAGGAGAACAATCAACCGGAAGCCGAAGTCAAACCTCTAATCCTGGGTTGCTTACTTGGAAGTTTGACTGCTTACCTTGTCTGTCACCTCTTTCGGCAGATCTCCTAGCTCGGCGACTTGGGGGACTCCTACTATAGGGTTTGTATCACACTTGACTAAGCCCGAAACTACAACTAAGCTTCAAGTGAAATTGATACATTACCTTGTGCGTCAACATCAGCTAAATACACCATTCCCGGATGGAGGAAAGGTACTTCCAGAGAGAAGGGCAGATGAAGAAGATCAGACCACACTTCGGTACTTAGAAGTTTCGTGATTACTCAAGGGATTGGATCTTGCAAGTCCCCAACCGAGGAAGTTTCCCTCACTCGGGAACTTAGGGGAGCACTGTTTGTACCATACTTGACCAATCCCGAAACTACCGAGCACCGGCCAACGCTATACTGTCAAGGACCCAGAAGAGTTCCCCTCCGACCAGGAGGCCAATCACTACTCGACACGTGTCAAGATTAGAAGCCAATCAGAGCGCAGCACGTGTCGACATCAAGAACCAATCATAACATGACACATGTCAATGTGACAAAGCTACAAGTTTTTCTATAAATAGGGGTCATTCCCCCACAATATTGGCTAATGCCATTTGTGTTAAATCATTCACAAGAACTCACTAAATTGAGAGCTTGATCCTTTGTACTTGTGTAAGCCCTTCACTACTAATAAGAACTCCTCTACTCCGTGGACGTAGCCAATCTGGGTGAACCACGTACATCCTGTGTTTGCTTCTCTGTCTCTATTCATTTACGTACTTATCCTCACTAGTGACCGAAGCAACCAAGCGAAGGTCACAAAACCTGACACTTTCTGTTGTACCAAAGTCTTCGCTGATTTTGTGCATCAACATATGTAATAAGCATGCAAGTGAGGTTTTAGTTGTGCTGGTGCACGACAGGAGGATTTTTCTTTGGGATTAAGTTTTGATTTACATATTTTAATCCCATCGAATTTAAGACCTCTCACAACAAAAAATAAAAGAAACGGAACGGGATAAAAACTGAAGATCAATACCCTTATCTATTATAATCCATGAAATTGTAATCCTTTTTACAAGCTAAATAGCCATTCTGATTTCCACCACGCAAAAGGATTGAATTTCCATGAAGAAATAGGAAGGCCACAAAACACCATAAAACATGGGGTTAGTCTCAAACCCCTACTATCTGTTCAGTAGGAAGGCCACAAAGCAACCATAAAACATTGGTTGGTCGATACGATACTCTCTTCTTGTCCTACTTCCAATCGCAACAAGATATGAAGCAAAACCTTAATCATGCAGCACTATCTTTTCAACCTAGTATTCCAACCTTCATGCATTTGCCATAGACAAACTTTTATTCACCAACCAATAACTCAAAATACTTATTCTGTTAATTACTATGCATCAAATATGGTGGCTACTAGAATCATGCTTCATAATGACATCAATATTTTTCTCGTATAACCAAGATTTAGATTTCAGAGTGTTGGTTCCGATCTTGCCACAAGACCCATACATCCCTACCAACTCCCAAACTGGCATATGCCGACAAATTTAGACGAAGTGTGGTACGACTCATGTCGTAACAACAGTGTTTTATACAACAGATCAGCACTGTACCCATTGAACAAAACGTCAATATCGCCTTCCCATTAAGTCGCCGTCTTGTCTAGGCATTGTTTTAGAGAAAATTTCAATGATGACGTCCACGGATCAATCCAGAGTGAGCACTTCTCGGTTAAGCTCCCCGCCAATTACTACAAAAGATTTTACAATGCATCAAAATGAAAGAAAAAAAAAATCAAGAATACAAAAACAAGGTAAAGAATGCTTAAGAAGAAAACAGAAGAGTAAGAATCACTACAGATCACATAATTGTTCAAGCACGGAAAAAAGTCAAAAAAAAAAAAAAAAAAAAACAAGTTTGACATGAGCCTGGCTTACAAGGCTCGATCCAGCCCAGTTGTACACATGTTCTGGCCCAAATTATTTTCCACCCTATGACAAACATACAAAAATGGAAAACGATGGCTGAAAACCGTCCTCCAAAGTCCAAAATCATTGTAAGAAACTCCTCTATTTTTGTCTCCACCAATAAATAATACAACCCAGACAAAACCACACCACATTCTTTTCTTGTTTAAATCATAACAACCTTTGCATATAAAACATTAAACATATCTGTAATCCATCCAAATCAAATTAGACATTCCCTAATTACATTAATCATGGCAGCAGGCTCTTGAAAAGGCTTGAAAATCTTTGCTGCTGTCACGGGCATTCTCTTCATCGTCATCTTAGTTCTTCTAGTCGTTCTATTCGTTACAATTTTAAAACCCAAAGAACCTTCAATTTTCGCCCAGCCGGTTAGCCTAGAGGGATTTGAGTTAGTAGGTTTCCCCGTTATAAAGTTAAATATATCAATAGGAATATTGGTCACCGTGAAAAATCCAAATTATGGAGGCTTCAAGTATGAGAATAGTACAGTTCATATCAGCTACCGTGGGAATGTTGTCGCCGAAGCTCCGATCAGAGACGACACAGTTCCGGCTCGTTCGACTCATAACATCACCAGTGTTGTGAGTATTTTGGCTGACAAATTGGTAACTAATTCGCATTTCTCGGGTGACATGGCTGTTGGAGTGCTGAATTTTACTTCAGAAACCACTCTGCATGGCAAGGTGAACTTGTTGAAGGTCTTTAAGATGAAGGCAACCTGTTATAGCGATTGCAACATTTCTATCTATCACTACTGGAACCCAGAGCGCCGCCACCGTTTGCAAATTGAGGGTAAAACTCGATAATTAATATTCCCTTGTCAAATAGTATAAACTGTTATAACGAACTGTTAATTTATAATATTCACTAAACGAGAATATATATCGAGCTTATAAATGATAAATCTGTAGTTTGAGTACTACTATTGATTCATTTATTTATTTATCTCTGATTCTGTTTGTGGATTTACTAGCTGATGATTTGTTGCCATGGAAGTAAAGTTAGTTGTTGTACTGATTTCAATTTTCTTTATTAGATGAACTCATTATATGGAAGTATTGGTGTAAATTTATTTTTAAGGACTTATCTTTCAACTCCCAATTGGTACCCCTCCTCCCCCATTTAGATTCTCACGAATTTCAAGGTCGATTCGACCTAAAGATTACAAGTTGGGCAAGATTTAGGTTTTTGATTTAAGTATGTAGTTTTAATGCAAAACTACTTCATTAAAGTTACATGATATTGGAATATGGATTATGTATTTATTCCTTGATAATTAAAGAAAGTTTAGGTTCTACTGTAAAACTAATTGACAATATGGAAATTAACCAACTGCTTATACTTATAAGTACATTCAAAATCTCTATTTTTCCGGTGTGGGATTGATACTCTCAACACGTCTTCTCATGTGTGGTGAATTTTCAAGCTTAACACATGGACAACACCGGGTGACATGGAGCACATGTGGTTGTTGGACTTTACACGCCAAACAAGTGGCTATGATATCATGAAGAAAATTAAGGTTCCATCATAATAAAATCAATTAACAATATGAGAGTAACCCAACTACTTATAAGTACATGTACAATCCCTCATTTTCTTGATATGCAATTGATACTCTCAACAATAATTATTTCGAGGCATCAACATTGAAATGATCCTTGTATGAATGCTTAGCCTATATATATGATCAAGATATTGCAAGAACAATCAAATATCAAACAAGAAAAGAATTCCCATTAATGTAATGTTCCTTGTATTCAAGATGTTGCAAGAACAAGCAAATGTCAAACAAGAAAAGGATTCCCATTAATGTAGCTAGTGCCAAGTTGATAGTTGATATCAGTGACATGATTTTAAACAACACCAAGCAGAATTCAAATTTGTGACCCACCAAACGTTAATTTTTCAGAAAAATAAGAAATGTAGTAATCAATGCAAGTATCACTGAATATATATGGTGGGTGAACATTTTGGACATTGAATTAATTCAATGTTATTCATAGTTTAAATTCCTGCTATTGTCAAAAAATGGCATGCCGAAGTTTTTATTTTATTTGATTATAAATAATATATTACACTAATTTATATTAAGAGAGGAAAAATTTGAACTTGAGACGCAATAATTAAAAAAAGAAGACTTGAACTACTATGACAATCCACCACCGCCGGCCAAAACTTAGCTAATGCGCGTTACATGCATACATGATGTATAGCAAGCAAATTTATCTTGTCCGAGTGTTTTGATTAGTCTTAACTTGCAATTCTAAATGAAGTAATGAAACATGTTTGCATTGTATGTGTGTTTCATAAAAAAAGGGTTTGTGTTAAATTTATTTCTTTTTTATCGGGACATTTTTGAATTTATAGAATAGCATTCTCATTGTCAATAAAAAGAGGATGAAAATCATTCTAATCCTATCAACACAACTAAAAAAAAATAGTCAAAATAAAATTATGAGCAATATAGTAAATCACACACAAAACAATTTATTTATTTTTTTCTCTTTCCCTCGTAGCCAAATAATTCCCATTCATCCCATCTCCCTCTCTCTTCCACACTTTTCTCCGAGCGCCCTCTCTTTTTATTTATTTTTATTTTTATTTTTTATGAAGTAGTGCTCTCTCTTTCTCCTCTCCATAACTTCTAAATATATTTCTTTCACACTAAAGAGTGTGTGGCAAAGTTGGAATAATGTTTTTTATTCTAACAGTAAAATTTCTGAATCCAAACATGAAATTTAGAATATTTTCTGAAAAATTAGAACAAGAATTGGAATGCACTTAGAGATTTTGATAATTCCAAATTTTTTATCCGAATTTTTCCAAAGTGTTCTGGACTTATTCCAATAAGAAAAACTTCTGAAATATTTCCATTTTTTTATAGTTATTTACTCCTATTGTATATTTTGTTAATTACTTTTTTATTTTATTGTTAGTTTTGGATATATTTTGTTCATTGTTTTAATATTACACATACATTTATATATTAAGAAGGATAAACATGTTAGTATACCACAAAATTAATTCAATTTATACATAACTACATACAAAATATTAAGAAAGAATAATAAATTGCAGTACGAACGGATTCCTCTTTTATTTTCCGTACTTTTATTTTTTGCTTTTTTACAAAAAACACCCTTCGAGAAAAGGAAAACTAATGAAAAGGGCTTGAAAACTTTGAGTTTTGACGATAAGGACAAAATAAAAGGTAAAGTGAATAGCACCAGGATTGACTTCTTAGTGTAAAAATGTGGTTTTTCGTTAAAGTGAACAGTACCAGGAGTTTTTCGTTAAAGTTCCCTTCGAAAAAAGCACAAATTATAAAATGGGCGAGAGAGGGATAGACAAGATTCAGGTTTTCATTTTTTTATTTTTTATAGAAGCAGACAGGTTTAAGGTTAGGATATTTGGAGGACATGGACAAAGGGTGATGTCCTAAACTGTGTCCTAAAACTAAAAAACACTAAATAAGGGAGTATATGGGTATGGGAAGACTGTAACAACTTAACGACTCACCAATATCAATCGAAGCAACAAAAGGCAAAAGAAAAAAAATTTGTTTTAACATATATGTGCCACATTATTTACAATACCATATCTATATTAATATATCGAAAGTTAGAGTCGACAGTTGATGTTGTCTCAGTAAATATATAGTGTGTTGAACAAATAAAGAAAACTAATTTGATAAAAAAAATAAAAAAAATAAAGAAAACTATAAGTAATTTTCTATTTCTTTAATTCAGGTCATTTTTTCCATTTATTGTGGGATGTGAGCATTAAATCAGATGAAAAAAAATAATGAAATAGATAGATTGATAAACATTTAAGAAACAAGATTTTGAGAAATCTGAAGGGTCAGAGAGGCATTAATTTCAACCTCATATGACCATCATCATGTACACAATGTCAATAATCGAATTCAGGTCGCGCCGTGTGGAATCGGACTTGGAATTCATGTCCAACTAATGGACCACCCCTTGATGGTTGCAAATAATGGTTTTATTGGATTTCTATAATAAGTTTGATTAGAAGTACCATGAAAAAAGGTATAGTGATATTCCATTTTATTTATAAGTGAGAGGTATTAAGCTCGAAACTCGTAGATGACGAGTTTGATATACCAATTCATTCATCCACCTTCTTAATGTTAATATATTTCTGTATTAAAAAATGAGTTCTATAATTCATATCTTAGAATGGTAGTTGTCAATTAATCATCAATGGAACGCATGCGATATGATTAGATTCAATGTAATTCTACGGATTTGAGAAGAAAGTACAATGAATCATTTGAGACCTATGACTTTCTTCTATACCTTTTTACAAATTCGAACTTTCTAATGGATTATTAACAGGTTTTTTTTTTATCGTTATGGATTACCATAATTATAATAATAATAATATAACATAATTATAAACAATAATTTGGTAATAAAAAATTAAGGCTCATGCTCAATTATGAATGTTGCATGTAAGCAGGCTGAAAAAAATATTGGCAATTTAGACCGTGTTTTAGAAGAACTTGGATTGCAATGATGAATCTTGTGAACGAGTTTGTAGCAGACAAACCTACAGTTCCTTAGTGCAGCGATAAAAGCGTGTACGTATTGTGACCTATTTTACTGAAGCAAGACACTGTGGTAGAGATAAATGGAGAAGGACTTGAGCAATTATGTATGTTATTACTCATGCCTTGTGCTAGGATTATTTGCCTCGCAAATAATACAATCATAAAGGAATAAGATCTTTTAGTATCCTAAATATTGTTGAGAATTAATGAGTCTCACATTGATGGAAGCAGGGACCTTGCATGGGCTTATAAGTAAGATGAGCTATTTCCCATATTGCCAATTAGTTTTATGGTGGAATCTCAACTTTCTTTATTGTATCAGAGCAGGTTGTCCCACGTATGAAGCCAAATAGCCACACTCGCTTCACGTACCCCGTTGTGTTGTTCACGGGCCACACGCGCTCTACGTACCCCGTTGTGTTGTTCATAGGATATGCTTGAAAATTCACCATACATAAAATAGTGTGTTGAGAATGAGTCCCACATTGATGGGAGCAAGGACCTTACATAAAATGGTGTGTTGAGAATGAGTCCCACATTGATGGGAGCAAGGACCTTACATGAGCTACTCCCCATATTGACAATTAGTTTTATGGTAGAATCCCAACTTTTTTTCAAATACAATTGATGACATGTCATTTGATTTGTAAATTTGGTTTAAAAATTTGGCTCCCTTGCATTATTCATATCACAATATAAGGGAGTGCTGGCGAGTGAAAAACTGAAAGGGTTGAAATCTAGGGCAGTTAAAAAAGCTGTAATTCATATTTCACCACCATACTCCCCTAACAAATTTAAAACATGAGGATGTTGAGAGGCCAAACCAACTATTCTCTCTCTCTCTCTCTCTCTCCCTCTCATGCATGCTGAGCAGCATTTACACCTTTCCCTCCCGCCATAAATGCAATCGCACCCTCTCAATACGCTCCGCATTAACTCCTTCGCTGTCACATCCTCTCCACCGGTTCCTCTTTCTTACCCCTTCCCCCTTCCCCCCAAAGTCTCTCTCTTTCTTACTCTCTCTGGTTTGCTATTTCGATTCCATCTTTTTTTTTCTCGTTCGTTTTCTCTTTCTCTCTCTCTCTCTCTCTCTCTCTCTCTCCCTTTCAATCTTCATCACCGCATTCTTCTTCTTATACCCACAAATATTCTACTCCTACCCACCACCGTCTCAAAGGGAACAGAGAGTTCTTCGTTCCCCCACAGCCTACAGCTCAAAGGGTCAGC